ATATAAAATTATATTATTAATGTTATAGATATTGAGGTCAGAAAAAACAAAAATAAAAAAACAAAGCAAAACAAGGAAAGTCTGAGAAACTGTCACCACCAAGAAGCATCTAAGGAGACATGACAACTAAATGTCTTCCAAGATTATTTAATTATACACAATATATATAATCTTATATAATTATTTATATATATAATTGAATAAAGACTTTTAAAGGGACTTTTAAGAGTAGGAAGACTCGCCTATTAAGCACCTCTAGCCTTTTGCCACTACTGAGAGGTACACGTAATGAAGTAGATGAACTAGCTCTCCTATCACTAAGAGTCCATCAAGCATGAGAGAGAAAGCTGAAGATTAAATGGCTGAGGAAAAAGTGAGATGGCCTGAATTTCTGAGAACAAGGTGAGCCACCATTATAGCCCCAAACTGCCAACATTTGAACTTTCTTGTTACATAAGAAAAGTAAACTCACATTTGATTAAATCATTATAAATTGATTTTTCTGTTCTTGTAGCTGAACCCAAATGCAGCTGAGACAACAAAAAGTTATATTCATTAAATTTTCTTGTTTCTCTGTAATTACTTAGTACAGTATTTGGCACATTCAAAAGTAAATTCTGGTTAAATTAATAAATATAATCTATTACCTATTAATCTTAATTGGCTCTCTTTTCAGTCAAATCACAAATACTACCTACACTTCTTCCTAAAATTTATTTTCTGAGAATAAGACATTCCCTTTATAAAAAAGGTCAAATCAAAGATAAAAGAAAGTCCTGGGTGAAAGGACCAAAGGAGAAGAAAGCATTATATAGGAGTATCCTGGGCTTATTAAAATTTCTTCTTAACAGAAAAATTTACTAGGTTAAAATATTCATCTTTTGAGCTAATCTAACTCTGTTTCTACTACTTCATAGCCCATATTTCAATCAAGAAAAACATACTTTATTATGCTATATTAACTTACACATGTACAGAACTTTATAGGTTTTCAAAGTGCCTTTATAGAACTATAAATTAGTAAAGATGAGATAAATTATGATATATGTGTTCAAGGCACTAATAAGTAACTCTTAAATAATTGAATATATTTCCGTATTATTTATATCGTTAAGTAAAGCAAAGAAACTAAGTCTCAGAGTCATTTAATATGAAATTCCTGCTACAGTAAAAGTGTATATACTTACATACACATAGAAAATTTCCAGAAGGATTTCAATAGATTATTATATACATAAGAAATAGTAGTTATCATTGTAACAAGGAGATAGGGATGGATGGACATCAAGAGACCTTTTTTCCCATTGAAATAAGGTCCATTCTCTTGAAATAGCCATGTGATGGTTTTAAACTATGTCCACAAATTCTTTGGGTGCACAAATAGTTCTAAGAATATTACAGAAAGGTCCCATATACCCCACACCCACATTTTCCTGAATGTTTCTCAATCTGGGTTTGTCCTATGTTTTCTTCATTACTAGACTGAAGGGATGGGTTTGGGGAGGAAGACCACAGGGGTGAAGTGCCCTTCTCCTCACATCATATCAAGGGTACATACCGTCAACATGACACCACTCCTGCTGTTAATCTTGATTACCTGGCTGAGGTAGTGCTTGTCAGGTTTCTCTACCGTGAAGTTCCTTCCCTTCCATCCATAATATACTCTTTGGAAAGGAGTTATGCACAGCCCACACTTAAAGGGTGGAGAGTTATTCTCCAACTCCTTAAGAGTGGAGAGTATATACATAAATTATTTGGAATTCTACATGGGAGATTCGTTTATTTGCCTTCCTTTATTTATTCATTCAATCATTTTTAAAATTTTTAAATTGATAATGTACATATTTATGGGGTACATCGTGATGGGATGATACATATATCATGATCAGAGTAATTAGCATATTCATTTCAGACATTTATTATTTCCTTGTTATGGGAACTTTTGATATGCTTCTTCTAGCTATTTGGAACTATATATTGTAATTAACTATAGACAACCTACAGTGCCACAGAACAGTACTAGAACTCACTCCTCCTATCTAGCTATAATTTGTGTTATCCTTAACAAATCTCTTCCTATTCCCTCAACCTCTGAGACTTTTACTTTCTACATTACATTTTTTACTATGTTCAGATTCTAAGCCAATAATATATTGCTTTTGTGAAAATTAAAAATGCATCAAAAAATTTTAAAGCGCTTTCATAGTTACTACGTAAGTTTATTCATGCCAAAAAAAACTATGTGGAAAGCTTTAAAGAATGTCTACTCAAAGCTTCCCTATGATGAGATACCATTATCTCTTTTTTATAGACAAGAAACTGGGTTATAGAGACATTCACAAATTTGTCCAATTTCTCCCAACTCATGAATGGTAAAGCTAGAATTCAGAGCCAGGGCTGCTTTTATCCTCTTTACTGATTCCACTTATTTAGCTAATCTTTCTAAAAATCTATGAAGCAAAGAGGGCAGGTTTTAATGTAAAGTTGTCAGTGACAGAGATTTCAGTAAATGGGTCAGGATTACTCATTTTAAGTCCATGATTGTTCCTACTTTGGCCAATGTGCACACAGGAGAGATCAATCTGCTCCACTTAAAGTTCACATTAACGAAAAGTGTTTTTCCACATTTCCTATACCTGTTTCATATTAACTTTAAAGCATTTTTTAACTTCTTAAGAAAGCAAATATCTCTGAACATTAAGAAAATTCTGAAAATGGCTGGGCGTGGTGGCTCAAGCCTGTAATCCCAGCACTTTGGGAGGCCGAAGCGGGTGGATCACGAGGTCAGGAGATCGAGACCATCCTGGCTAACATGGTGAAACCCCGTCTCTACTAAAATATACAAAAAACTAGCCGGGCGAGGTGGCGGGCGCCTGTAGTCCCAGCTACTCGGAGACTGAGGCAGGAGAATGGCGTAAACCTGGGAGGCGGAGCTTACAGTGAGCCGAGATCGCGCCACTGCACTCCAGCCTGGGTGACAGAGCGAGACTCCGTCTCAAAAAAAAAAAAAAAAAAAAAAAAAGAAAATTCTGAAAATGTTCCATCTTTCTGCAAGACACAAACTACTCTTTAACTGGGCTGAAAGTTAATAATTAAAAGACCGTATCAGCCCAAAACCATAAAAAAGGCAAATATTCTTCCAGTTTGTCTGGTTGCAAATCTTGGTGCCCTTTATAGAAATTCGATAAGACTGGCATTCTGAAATTAGAAATGCATGTGAATAGAACATTTAATTTGACACTGCAGTAATTTGATTAAATGCACAAAGGGAGTTGTGTGGATTAATTGAAGAAGCACTGGAATATCAGCTTTGGGAATGAACCTCAATCTCATCATAGGTCCTAGATGACACGATATTGTTAGTATTTACTATGCTTCCTGTGGTTAAATATTTATGAGGCAGCTTAGTTTACTAAATATAACATTTAACACAGCTTCAACTTATTGCTACCTTTTCTTTCAATTCCTAGAGTGAAATTTTCCTTAGCCTTGCTTCCTAAAACTAAAAAAAATTTAAAAACTAAAACCTTAGCTAGTTTCTTATCTTTATATTAATCACCCCTTGTTCCATGAAAAAACCAAACAGGGAATCACACTATTTTAAATGACTATTGTATTTTGTAATTTCTTTACTTTACTTAGCTGACATCTTGCATAGAATTAAAGAATGCAGAGAATCAGTATTAATTATTGGGATCCTGAACTTAGTGTAACTGGATCTCTCTAGGAACTCTTCAGGAGCCCCTCAATTTACCCATCAAAATGTTTTACAGATTGCATCATGTAAGTTACTAAAATTACAGTAAATGGCATTTAATGTTTACAGTGCTTGCTCCACTCCCGGCAAGTTGGAAGCAAATGAAAAATGGAGCATCAGAACGACACTCCATCAGTATGATTGCCATTTAGAGAACAAAATTATGAAAAAAATTTGACAGTTGGGTGTTTTTAAGCAGACTCATGATAATTAATCAAAGGAGGACAGATTCTGGGTTCCATAATACCTATCTGGTGGTAATGCACATTTATTCATTCAACAAATACTTAGAAACTCCACTCTGCAACAGTCAGTATTGTAGGTATCAGAGAAATAGATGTAAATAAGCTGAACAAAATTGCTGCCTTCATGGAATTTACTGTGGAATATGCTTAAACTTGCTATTAGGAGAGACTGGTATGATGTTTAGGACTTGTAATATGTTCAAATCTCTTCTATATACCTTTTATTTAATCTGTGCCATATATGCCATTCATATATTTTTTTGCTGTCAATCCATAAGTTCTGTTTCTTAATCTGATGGAAGTATTTAAGCACGGAATATATTAGAAGGCAGTCCAGGTAGCGCTAATAATTTCAATGATTAAATTAACTTCACAAATAAAATTCACCTTTCTTACCTCTTCAATACTTGTTAGGTTGAGATGAGCAGCCGCTTCATCTTTGGTAAGAAGAATACAGTTCCAGGGGGACCACTCCAGGGATTTATTCCATCTGACCATGACCAGATCACTGAGATCGTCCCAGGCACTGAGGACGGACTGGGACGCCCAGATGTTCTCTGTCAGGTACTGAATGTCTTGTAGCTGCATGTCAAAGCAAGTTTTAAAAACAATGTAGTTTAAATTCGTTTAAGATTATTATATTACTTGAGCAAATAATTAAGTTATAGAGTATTTTTAAGTGAAATATTATTCACTAGGTTTCAGTGACACATAGCCCCTTATTTTTCACTAACCTTCTGTTCATTTTGCCTAAACTACATTATCAGTCTCACAGTTGTGTCCCCATCTCTAAACCAGAGTAAGCAGTATAAATTTATTTCAGTATGCTAATTTTATCTTAATATAATCTTAATAATACTGTAATGTTACCATAATAAACATATGGTATTGAATGATTTTTAAAAATTCATTATTAAGTACCATCTTAATTTCAGGACCACTGTCGGGACCTTTTAAAACCTTTTACTGCCATTTTACAAATGAGGAAGCTGAGATTTTTTTATATGGAACACTTCACAAGTTTGCATGTCATCCCTGTCCAAGGGCCAAGCTAATCTTCTCTGTATGATTCCAGTTTCAGTATATAGGCTGCTGAAGCGAACACAGGAAATTGAGATTTAATAAAGATAAGTAATTCACTTAGTGTTAATTAAAAGACTTGGTTGTTTCAATAAAAAAGAGGGGTAATGAAATAGTTGTTTAAAACTTTTTTAAAAATATAAACTTTATTAGCTAAAACTCTTGGAATGACTTTTTATCATGGGGTCTGCATTATAAATTAAGAATTGCCAGAGAGGGACAAACTCAACAAAGTATAAGCATGTAAAAAGAACATTTTTTTAAAAAGCTTCTGTGAAAAAGTGTGAGAGCAGAAATATTTTCTGTAAAATGAGTAGACAAAACCTAACAATTTGCCAAAGTAAAAAACAAAAAGAACCTGTCATCATCAGCTACAACAGTATTTCATAAATTGATAATTCAATATATTAAGCTCAACTAATGCATTATAGCTTTTACTTAATGCTAAAAAAGACAATACTCTGTACACAGCTGCTATGAAAAATAAATTTATAGACTTTTAAAATTCAATGTTTTATATATTTTACTTACATTCAAAATGCATCTTGTTCACATTTTTGTTTTTAATTTACTTGCTCAACTGTACTAATAATTTTGAAATTGTATCATAGGAATAACATGTTTATTTGCATGTAAATGTCAAATATGCACATGATAAGTGTGGTTGGCAGTCTCTAAGAGCTTTCTACCTTTCAAGTAGTCATTGTACTTGAAATTTTTGCAGTAATACAGCAATACTATTGCCTATTAGGCAGTATTTGTATGCATTACAGATAAATGAGGTGACTAGTACAACACTCAAATCTTTTGTCTAAGCAGAATGTTTACTTTTTGTATATATTAGCTTTCACCTTTTCATTTTATATGACATCATGTTCACATTTAATATATGCTAATCTTTGCTGTTGTTCACAAGATTTACTGTTTATGAGAATGTTCAAACATTCAAATTATGCCTCAAATACTATTACTGAAATAAATATTAATCAAAATTACACCAATTACAAGCGGGGAAGTTACTGGACACTCATATTTGTCTGCTAATCCTAGACATTGGAAAAGACATATAAGAGACCAAAACCCTACACAGATACAGTATTGAAATTAAATCACATCTAATGGAGATTATCCTTATCTGAAAGGTTACAATGCTCCCCTAGAATTTTTTCATTCAATATGTGTAATGGTTGATTTTACATCAACTTGACGAGGCCACAGGATACCCAGATATTTGGTCATATGGTATTCTGGTGTTTATGTGAGGGTAGTTTGGATGAGATTAACATTTAAGTCAATAAACTGAGTAAAGCAGATTGTCTTCCATAATGTGAGTGGGCTTTATCCAATCAGTTGAAGGCCTGAATAGAACAAAAAGTTGACCCTGCCCCCAAGTAAGAAAGACTGTTCTTGCCTAATGGCCATTGAATTGAGACATTGGCTCCTCCTGGTTCTATAGCAGCCTGCTGGTCGTCAGACTTGAACTGGGCCATCAGCTGTTTAGGTTTTAGATTTACCAGCCTCCATAATTATGTGAGCAAATTCCTTGTAACAAATCTCCTTATATGTGTATATATAGCATATATGTATAAAATTTCCTATTGGTTCTGTTTCTCAGGAGAAATCTGACTAATACAACATGGAATATTGAGGCAGCACTTGTTGGTGACTTATATTAAAGCCCTAGTACATATAAGATTCTCTACAAGGAAATATACATCTGTCATGTCAACAATTCCTGAATAAAAGTAGCAAATAAGAATTTAAGCTGATATAAACATCAAATTTATTAATAAAATATTCATTCTATTGGACAAAATATGTAATCATTTTAATTTGTGTTTTTCAAACTGTGGGTTGCTACCTCTTGGGTGATACCAAAGTTTTCCAAATGGAAATTAGAATAAGTAGACTGAGATTGAATAGAAAACATCAGAGTGCATCCATAGGGGTAAAGATAAATATTATTTTGGAAACTCTTATTTCTGAGGCAGAACAGCATGTGTTTACATGTATGGATTCTGGGACTCAAACTGCCTAGTTTTCAATCCTGGTGCTGGTACTTAGTAGCGTAAACTTGGACAAGTTTGTTAACTGCTCAGTGCTTCACTTTCCTCATCTGCAGAATAAAAATAAGGCTATTTTGATGGGAATTTTGTGCTGATTAACTCAATAAAGTATGTAAAGCCATATAGGTACTGAGTATTGAGAATTATCATGCATGCCTATATCAGGTTGTCATAAAAATACATTTTTACTGTAGATTGAGATTTAAGAGTTTGAAAGCTACTGATTTAGAAGAATTTTTTAACAAAGCACATCACATTTGGTACCTGTTTTTAAATCTCTATAAAGTTTTCTATTCATAGTAGTGCCTATTTTCCTATTTGGTATTAAACACAGTTTAGTTCATTTTAATTAATAACTTTAATTTACAGAAAATTTGCCCTTATTTTACAGTCTGTGAACACAAATATCATTAATGAGGTGAATAGTGCACTATAATATACTTTTATTAATAAGTGGCTCATGTTGGGTAGTCATATCAACAACAAGTAAGTCCTTCTCTTTTCTCACTCCCTTACATAAGTCCAAACAGTGTCAGGAATTTGTTTTTATTTTGTAGAGACACAGACTATCCTCTGGCCTAAACAACCCAATAGAAGTCATGGAATAACCAAAGAGACCAAAGTAGTGGTTAAGTTAGGAATTCAGGTCAGAGTTCTTGATCTCACAGGCTCCACCCTCTCACAGAGCTAGAAGTTCTTATGAGAAGCAGATTGCTGATAGGATCAATGATCCAATGCAATGATTCATCCAAAAGAACTCTGGCCAGAAATTTTCCAGTTGTGTGGTATCATACCAACACTTTACATAGACAAGTATCAAAGTCTTTCCCTAAGGTTGTTGCTGTGTTTTTTTTTTTGTTTTGTTTTTGTTTTTTTTTTTTTAACTTTCTATAAGCCTTAGCTTTCACTTTTGGCGTTATTTACCATTATGGTCACATTCAGTTTACACTAATTAGTACTGTTATTCATAAACACTAGTATGTGTATATGTAACATCAGTTTCTGTAAAAGTCATTCATTCATTCAACAAATATTGAGGGCCCTAAATAAAAACTTGGTACTGTATTAGGTTATAGAGGTATAATGGTGAGCAGGAGGAATAAAAAGCATACTCCTGCCCTTACAGAGCTTATAGTCTAGTGGAATAGAGAGTCATTAAACAATCACACACACACACACAAACATGCATAAGATTGCAAGACAGCCTCCTTGACAGGCTTCAGCTATAATTGGCACCCCTTATTGACCATACCTGCATCAAGAAAGCAATTTTAGAATCATCTTCATAATCAGCTTCTGTAAAGTAGAGCTGCTGAAGTAAACATTTGTACTTCAAAAATGATTCTCGTTTTTGAGCCTCATTCTCAAGGCTAATGCAGTTACGACACCGGTATATGCGGCGTGAGGTGGATGATATAGAAAACTCTGTAGAAGGCAAATAAAGCTGGCAACTGTGGCAAAAGTAAATATTTTTATAAAATTTCAATGGGTCTTGAGGGACCTAAGTAGTAAAAAAATAAATAAATAAATAAGCCAGGTCAGGCCAAATATGATCCTAACCAATAGAAGCATCAAGGGCTAACTTATCTTAGAATGAGATTAAAAAAAAAACAGTTGGCTAATTTCCAAAATTATATTTTCCCTTAACTTCTTATTCTATAGAAAATCTAAATTTCAAGCAGTATTTATTCATCCTGCCAAAATACTGAAAATCTGTTATTCATCAATTCTTAGATATTCGTTGTAAAATCACTTAGAAAATTAATTGACTGAAAAAAATAGTAGGAAGAGGCTTTTTATTGTTAAGAAAAGTTTAGATTTTTTTCAGTTCTACATTAGTTATTCCTATAGGCAATAGCTAGATTCACATATAAGTAAAAACCCACTAAACCAATTGTTCTTCTCGTTTAATTTATCTTCAAAATAAATTTGGACTAGTTCAAATGATTAATTTTCAAAGTTTGAAATTCTATGTCTAAAACAATAGACAGAGAGTAATTCTATCAACAAAATAATCCAATCCTTCACTATGGGCTAAAAATTCACTATTCACTATGGGCATGAATGAATGAGTGAATTGTGAACATCTCAACACAAACTGAATCAAGATGTATATAAGCCAGTCTTTCCTAATTTATGGTACATCAGTACCTCTGGCTTCCATGAAAGTAAAGATCAAGCAGCAACAGAGTTTGCATGTGATATATAAGACTTTCAAAAAATATTTTTATAAAGAAGGAAATAGACATCAATGTTCTATAAATCTACACATTTTTTCTCTTACTCAATGTGGATTTAAAATATTTACCATTATAATCCCTTCCAATGTTTTACTTTGTTCTGAACATCTGTTACCTTTCTGCACCTTCCCTTCTACTCTGCCTTACTTTTCCTAAATGCTCCATCTTCCCGAAGGGTAATATTCTTTAAAAACTTCATTGTACCTTGTCTTGTAATTTTGGGAGATAAGACAATATGTAAATTTAAAAGGTAGTCAATTCTTCGAGAGAAAAGAAGAGTGATCTGGGGTATATGGATCAAAGATCCAGAAGACAACTTATCTGGTTTATTTTCTTATTCTGAGATTTACACATTTTGTTTATCTTAAATGATTATTTTATCTTCATGCCTCCTATGCATTAAATTAGCAAATGTATCAGTCAACCTCATGAAAACACGTTAGCACACCTCTCCATTATAGATGGAGCATTTATTATAATGCCATGGAAAGATATTCTCTACCCATCTGAAATTGTGCAAGGAAAAAAAAAAAAACTCATTCTCATTATGATTATGACAGAGGGCTCCATTTAAGCTGCAGAATTTAACTCTATGCATTCTCCAGAGTACACTGGGTACTTCATGCTGGCCTACTCCCAAAAAGTGGTTGTGGGGGTAGTGGTGTTCCTTCAAATTCTTCTCCCACTATGCAAACTAAAAATGTGCAAATGAGCC